AACCAAACACCACTAAGCATGACGACTTCCATCATCAAGCGGGTATCATTCATGCCGCCCAATAAAATGCTCTTCCATCCCCGGAGAAGTGCCAATGTCACCACGCTAGTGCAGGAAAGGGCGACGTTTTCGTAAAGCGGTACACATTCCCCACAGTTGGTGGGGACTTGTCCCTTGTGTGAATCCTGCTTAAAAGCACAACAGTAACACTTCCGTAACAAAGCATTCACATTTGCAGGTAAATTGGCATTCATATTGTGCACGCTTACTGTTAATATACATACTAACACAATGGAAAAGATGGTTTTGAAAGGCCTACCTTTAATGATTTCCCAGCAGGCGAGTTCGTTAAACTTGCGCTTGCCTTTACCCCCCTTGAAGCTGTACTGAACAGCGATGTCGTCGGAAAGCAGTCCAACGAGAATTCTCCTTGTCATGTCAGGTCCAGAAGAACCCCCGTACTTGCCCCAGGAGACCATCTGACATTGAACAACCATGTAATTTCAGCATGAAAAACTACGGAATTCCACCCCATATTAGTATTCAGCTATAAGTTTAAAATTGTCTAAAATAGGAGTTCTATGGTTGTTTTACTTCCCATAAAAGTTCAGTTTCTGACTTTATTTGAATTGTAAGCCCAAGGTATTCTAGTTCACCACTGCTTTTTCCGCTACACTGCAATGCATTCACATTACAAATAGTAGTCGATCCATCTGCTTCAATGTTAGCTGCTAGGCAAAAGATGAAGCGATTGCACAATCTACGAGCGGAATGAATGGACACAAGGTCTCTTCCAAGTAGCAAACATGGGAGACTAACGCCCTTCCGTCTTGACTACACATCCGGCATAACCACCCCAATATCTTTCAAAAATAATTTTCTTGCTTAAAGGCCGACGACCAGTTCGCGCTTTCCACTTCTGCCCCGCTTGCTCCTCTCCACCCTTCTACCCTGCCCACTGCTGCCGGTTTCTTTTTCCCCATGGTGAGGAGGATCTTCTGCCTTGCAGAACCTCGAGTCTGGTCGTCGGCTGTTAACGTACATTATTTCAGCATAATCTTACAAAATGAAAGCTATGAATCAATAGAGCTGGACCCTAAAATAAATACAATCAATACAGTGAGCAAGATTGTCCGCTAGTTGGCCATGTATCCACTACTCATGGTGCATTCTGAAAGCGCACTTCTTGAGCATTCTTGGCATTTCCCATTGAGCATGCCTTCTTTTCTTTATATTCTCATCTTTTACGAGCTCGTGCTAACATTCTCATGCACAAGGTGCATTTTTGTTCACTTGTATGCCACGTGCAGTATACTCAAAGCCACTAAAACCATAATTGGCCTATTGATTAAAACTGCTCTAACCCGTTTAACGCTCCTACTGTGCAGATATGTTTTTAGTGCTTACAAATATGTTAAAATGAAGGTTAGTGCAAGTGGCTATTCACTTTATATAGGGTAAATTGTCAATAGCAGTCGAAGAGCAGACTTAAGTTATATAAGTAGACTCACCAGCCGTTTTTTTTTCTCTTCGGAGCTTGCCACAGAAGCATCAAAGTCTAAAAACGTTGCGAGTTCATTGAAGGGCCCAAAGGATTCGCCTGAGACAAGAATGTTCTCGTCGTTGCTGTTCGAGACCAGGGTGGTTAGCAACTCTAACTTCAGTGCATGTTCATTCAGCTTGAATTGGATGATGTGCAGTAGGCGCAAGATCTCCTTGAAAAAATCTGTAACAATGAGGGGTTTAAATTTTTTGAAAGTCAGTGAAGAGCTGGAAAAGCTTAAGAGGGGACATGGGCCTAAGTTTCAAAATTTTTTTGAAAAAATTCCTTTTTAAATTTCGAGGTTTTTGGTTTTAGAAACTAATTATACACCCGTACACTAAATTTCATAACTATGTGCCAAATAGTTCCGTTGATATAAAATATTTTCAACAGATTGTGAGGCAGTGACAAAGTAAAAGAGTTCAATGTTTGAATGCAGTTTTCTCAGTTCCACTTTTTGCTGCAAATTTGGTACGAAGGAATCTTTTGTTCGAAGGTAAAAGTATTCTGATACCACAATCAAGATGTTTCTGAACTGCAGCCGCTTGAGGCGGCCATGAGAAACACGCGGCATGACGTCAATGGGGAATCTTGTAGAAAGATAGAAAGTTGTGCGAATACCTGCTCGATAAAAGGTAACTTTTCTATAAATCTTGTTGTTCCAACATAAATATAAATGCGCCAAAACCCTCGTATCATCGACAAAACTTTTATTATATGGAGCTTTAGTGGCGCCATCTATCCAAGGTCCACAAAACCGTCGGCTCTACCTGGTACCGCGAACAGCCGCCAGAAGCCGGAGGGGGAGGGGGACATGGCGGGATGGGTAGTGATGAAACTTTCCTCCTCTCACCATATTGTTCGCTCTGCGCGCGTCAGCACGTGGTCACGAGCAAGCGGATGAGTTCTCGCCGCTCACTGATGGCTCTAAAGAGAGCTTCACCGGAACCCCGCGCCTTCCCATTGACGTCACAGTGCACTTGACTCGGAAGATAGTGAATGAGTTGAGAGGCGCCGAAAACCTCAATCTTTGTCCATTTTTAAAATTAAAACTAGGGCATGCAGGCGAATGCGTTTTTTTTGTTCTTTACTTCAGAAATGCCGAGACACCAACTTCCACATTAGTTAAGCAAAGCACTGAAACTGTTGCACAGCTCCTTTAATAAAGCAGGACATGGCCGGGTAGACAATACCTGTAAAACCTTGACTGAGCAGAAAGATATTATATAGCAGGGCATGGCTGGGATAGACTAATTAATAATCTTTAACTTTTATGGTGCTATGGCCTAGATGACTGCAAATCCTCAGAACACAAAGGAGCTACAGCAACAGCAAGTTCTCATTTTGCTTACTTGGAGTGACATGATCGGAACGAGTTGCCTGAGGCTCATTTTGGAGTGGCACCAACCCTGTTGCAGCACTAAAATGGGGGGTTCCTGCCCTGAAATCACTTCCTGCTGTGGAACAGCCTGCAAAGAAAACAAACAAAATGACCATAGTTTTAGTTAGCTCTATTTAAATTCTATCTGTAGTTTCTTTTGTTGCAGCTGTCTGTTTGCCTCGGCAGTTACTAAACCTGTGTTCCATCACATCCCCAATTCCTATCTGGCCACACTATTGGTTGCTGTATCAGAATACAGTAGAAACGCATATTTCTACGAAATATGAAGGCCAACAGCGGAAGGGTTATAAGGCCAGTCCAATACATACTTGGCATGGCGCTGTCACTTGCTTGAGGATCTCTGCACTGAAGAGCTGACTCTGATCTGGCAGTCTTGTGTCTCCTGAACTGATCTACATGCCAAACAAAGAAAAAGAAACTTTTTACCTTTCTAAAGCAAATCATGACGTCTTGAATCTCAGCATTCATGCCATGATACAATGAAGTTGATAAGATTGGAAAAATGCAGAAGCAACATTGCCAACCTCCTTTTCAACAGAGGCCACAAAATGCCATTTATTATAGTGTGATGCATTTTAAATATACTCCCGTGATGCATTCACACTGAAAATATTTTAACTAATATTTAATGTCATGCTATAAAGAAAAAAGCACACGTCACATGAAGCGTTCTATACCTTTCCCAAGGGAATGACTAACCTCCTTGACACTATAGGCCGACTCAAATTAAGACAGACCTCTGGAGTATGTTAGATGCATTGTCAGCAACAATCTTTATGCATAAAGGTAGCTAAAGAATTTAAAGATGGGTGTTTCTGTTTCGAGTTGGGTTAACAAAATAACAATATATTGTGCTGCATTAATCATAGGATATACAACGTGCAACTCCATTTAACTAGGGCAATTTTTTGGATTAAATAAAAAGCAATAATGACCTAGACGGGCCTTTGTGACCTGGTTGTGGCTCCTGTCTTGAGTACCACATAGAGTTGATCGGTTTAGTAGCTCTACAAGAAAAAAAAAATCAGTGATTAAAAAAGACTATTAACTGTTACACTTGGTTAATTTTCGGTTGCTTACAAAATTATGTCACCTGTGTTACGATCAGGACGTTGCTTTGGATGCAACGGCGAGGCAGATGCTGGTGGCGATGGCAGTGGTAAGGATACAGCAAACTGGTAGCTGTCATCAGAGTCTGAGTCCGTGCTATAGCGCCTGGCTCGCCTACGCCGCCTCTTCGGCTGTTCAATCTCACTGTAGAGGTCTGACAACTCCTCAGCCTCAGGAAGCCTCTTCCGTGCATGGTCATATGATGCTGAAGAATATTGAATGGCAGTTAGATGTCGCTCCATAAAGGCCGTAAGTATATGCAATGGTTATACATCATGTTCAAATTTGGCATTATATATCTTGTACCAAGAAAAGCCCCCAATTGAAAGTGCCTACAGCAAACATGTTGACGCGAGCGCAGCTGAGTCAGCATGAACCCGTCTTCCACGCCCGTGGCTCGAATCCTGAAACCTGCTATCGTTTTACCTCTTCCCATTGCTGTAATGTTCTAGTAAAATCGAAAATCTTACCATTTCTTGGGGATCAGAATGTTTGAGGACCGAACTTTCTAGACCGAATCTGCCAGGAGGCAGTGCGGTTACAAAAGGGACTTCACGTGGCTGCGTAGTGCCACCACCGTCAAAGGATGTATGGGTTAATTGTTTTGTTTTTATTTTGTAGGCACAAGTCTGCCTTATTAAAACTCTGTTTTAAGTATTATAAAAAAAACAGTTTATTGCTTCATTCGTGAAAGCATGTGCACGGGTGCGGCAAAAAAACCCCATAAGAAACATATTCATCCAGTTGGCATCTGTGCTAATACAGACTTGATTCAAGATAAAATAAATTGTTAGCCTCACAGTGACTGATAACACTAAGTGGAAATGGAATAATCTATGAATCTATGAGTAAATACTCACCAAACCATCCAATGGGAATGCATCGAAGTCGCCGCCACTCGGACGTCGGCTGCTCACCGTTTTTGACCAAGGATTGAATCTTTCCAGTGTCCTTTGGCCAATAGCAGATGTCCCCGTCTAACCAGCTCTCATGTATGAGTGCCACACCATTCTCTTCATCGGGAAACTTTGCGATAATAAATGGTTTCTCTGAGAAAGATGAAATGTTGCATTTTAAGACATCTACCAGTGCGCAACTCTAACCAATCGGACACGTCAGCAGCGACATCGTCGCTCCTGTGGCCTTTGGGAAAAGGTAACAGCAAAGCCAAACATAGCATCCCAGAACTCGTCTAACATAGCTCAATTGAGATGCAACAGTGGGTAGACTGCAAACTTGTCACCCAGAGGCAGTCGAACACATTTGAACGCCACATCTTGTAGGGGCCATGATGACACGGTGTGTGGGCAAGAAACTAGAGAAATATTAAGAAGCGACGACCGGCATGGATATGTGTACAGATCCTCTACTACAGAGTACCTCCTTCCAACAAGCACTGGCTTCTTGGACAAGCATGAAAATGCAATGCTGTGAACCTCTATGATGCCACCATCCAGAAGTGTACATGTGTTGTCTCGTTTGTTTGTTGCAATACAGAACCTTCCTGGAATGTCGACTTTTCTGTACTGAGGGCTCCGACAGTGTGATGGCAGTGGAAAGTCTTCATGCTTCCCGGAAAATTTTATTGATTCGCTTGGTCGGATCTTGTCCTTGAAAGCAACGGCATTTTTTTTTTCTGCTAGCCTGTTGCAGAGTTGTTCTAGTGGCTTTTCTGGTTTCCTCAAACTCTTTTTGAAGTTTTGCATGTAGTTTTCAAATGCAAAGGCACTCCACCTGTCCAAATGACCGTGTGCCCTGACATCATTTGCCAAGTGCAAGAGCCCATGAACATTGTATGAAATAAATTCGGTTCCAAACAGTGACTTGCAGGTCTCCACAAAGTAACGCAGAAGCTTTTCAGCATAATCAACAAGCTCCTTTGAAAGCCTTGGTGAAGCCAGGATTGTTATGGCACAATGGAGAATCATAAAGTTTGCCTGAAGGTCTGATCGAACTGTGGATGGAAAGATCACAGGACCAGTGTACAGCAGAAGAAGTCTGAATTCCGTTGCTTTCCACATCTCCATATCCCAAAAACTTCGAGGCCGACGACTAAAATCTGATGGAACAAAATGCCGCAGTGCTTCGCTTTTGGTGGAGAGCTCATCCTTTACATTTGACCCCATCCGACAGGCTTTTGGTCCTTTAAACCAGACCCTCATCAGCTTATGCACGACACCAATGCACACCAAATGCATGTAGTCAAGCGGGACTTGTGCTACCATGTCAATTGGTAGTTTCTCAAGTATGCTCACACCAGTGTGATGACCCTCATCAACATGGCTCCTGAAACTGTCATTTGTTCTTAAAGGGGCGTCTAACTCGGGGAAGCACATCCTACCAAGCGAGACTCCCTCAGTAGTGCACCTACTGCAACTTGAGTAGCCCGAGTGACCTTTGATATGTAGGATGTAGGCTCTAGCTGGAGCATCACACACTAATGCTGTAAGCTTCACTTGGACGGTCACATCCCTAATGGTCACGCCGGAGTCAAGTGCCGCGTTTAAGTCATCTACGAGTGGTTGTAGGAATTCATTTGCTTTCAGAGCCTTTGAATGCCCATAGAACACACCAACTGGAAATGGTATGCCTGGTCCACAGTTAACCACCTGGCAAAGAATTGGCCAAAACTGTTCTTTTGTACTTTTCCTCAAGGGAAGTCCATCAATGTTGATGTGCAAATTCAGAACTCCGGGAAAGTGTTGGACATTCTCAAGGCTTTGCTGAAGTTGAGTAGCGAGACCAAAATGACAGTACTGGCCGCCACCTATGTTCACAATGCCCATACACATTCTAGGTGTTTGAAGAAGGGTTCTAGAGCACCCTGGCAGCTCTGCAAAGCAAGGGTGTGTGCGCTGAACCTTCAAAAGATCTGTCAAGCACTCATGAGTTACATTGTGTCTTATAGCCCATGTCTGGAGCATTGTTTTGAAGCTCTCAACACTATTCTTCTGTGTAGCACTCACTGATACAGATGTGCTTGGCACCAGTTCCTCAGTGATGTGGTTTATGTCAGCAGAAAACTGCTGTTCCCTAGAGTCAAAGGATATGCAAGAATCATCCGAGATGGACCCCAGTTGGTCTTGTGAAGAGGGATCGCCTGTTTCACTCGATTCCTGCTCAGAGCACGTCTCCGACTCGGAGGAGAGTGCAGCATTCAGATAACCTCTCTGAGGGTTTGACAAGACAGGGTTTGACAGGACAGGGTTTGTTTGCAGGGAGAGCTCATTGTCAAAAGTTGACGCTGTAACTAAGTTGACACTATCTCTGACTGCATTAGAAATATGACGCCGTAGGGTACGTTTTGATTTTGGCATTGTCTGTAAATGAAACAAAAATACATCCTTAATGGCTGGATATTCACACACGACATGAGACACCTCAATAACATGAAATGTATACATGCAGCAGCTTCGTTCTAAATCTAGAAATAAAGCCTATGATTACTGCAGCTGCACTGCTGCAATGGGCAAAGATTATCTGGTTTTCAAACCTTTTGGCTAAGGACGTACCTGAAAGTCACGGATGATACAATGATTTATATAAGGCCTTCAACAGCCTTTGGAGACGGTCGTAAAAGCGCAGCTACATATTTCGATAATGTTCTGTCGTGGAATCTGGTATGTATGTATGTACATATATACTTATGAAATAGTTATGTTTTCTCCTGTTTTGGAGGCGTTCCTAAACTTTTTCCATTCTGTATTGGAGGCGTTCTTAAACTGTTTAGACCGCGACACAGCACGAAAAAGCGATCATCAACTTCTTCCCATATTAATATCATCAAACATGCTCATAGGGGTAAAATACAAGGGCTGTGTCTACAGTGCCGTCCGACGGCACTCCAATCGCGCCTACATTGCAAGTGCCATCCGAAAAAGTAGGATGGTGCGTATATCACTGAAAAGCTCGTCTACAGCCCCCCCTACTCTTCCTCTCTCCTCCTCCTCCCTCCCTCCCCCTCCCCCCCCCCCCCTCCCCCCTCCCCCCCCCCCCCCCGGCCGGCTTGCGTTCACGCCGCTTCGCGGCGACAGTATGCGGCAGCTAATTACAAAACTATTGACCCATTTGGTTTGCCGGCTGACCAAGTTCCGCTGTACCCGATGCACCTCCGGAAATGAAGCCCCATACCGTTTCGTTCAGCGAAGTTTCGACGACAACGTTCGCTTTTCCTGTGTTAATCGTAAATAAATGTAAATATCGCCAAATGCGTCGGCAAAATAAAATTTTCGAGAAAACAAAAACAAAAAAGTAGGCCCGCACTGGGGAACGAACCCGGGACCACTTGCTTATGAGACAGAGATCCTACCACTTGTTTTATACGACTCTTTCGGACGGCACTTGAACGCGCGAGTGGAGTACCGTCGGACAGCACTTGAACGCTCTGCAAGAGTGCCGTCGGACGATATTCTAGACCACGACCAGTCGTGCTCTAGACACTACGAAAAAAAAAAATGCGCGTGACCAACGCGCTGGCTGTCGCACACACAGCGAGCCACAGCCCAAGCACGCCTTCGGCGTCTTTTTTTTTTTTTTTTTTTACATTACCAAGATAGGATATCGAGAAGCACGAACTTTTTCCTGATAATTTGTAGCCCCAAACACACATTTTCCACGACACTAAGAGTTTTGATGACACCAAATGAATTCTAGAAGACTGAAAAACAGTGCATAGAGTCAACACTCAATCCGGCCTTTTGCCCAAATTGCAATCCTCACAATCCTTATTATGTCTCTGTTCGTCAACTAACTCAAAGACTGAAGCCCAGAGGTCGATTTTAAGTGCCCGTTTGGACCGAAATGCCTTTATAAATTGTCCGAATTACCAAACAGTGCGAGGCTATGAGGTACCGACCGTTTACTCGCTACAGCACATCAAGAAATGCAAAATCCAAATTCATGCAAGACATTTAAAACAGTGAGCATAGAACGTATACGATCCATACCGTGGGTGTCGTTCATTATTTAGAGTTGCAAATTCTTCCAACGACGAGTGAACAAGCTATGACGACGAGCACGGTGACGACGAACAAACAGCGCGCGCGCGAGTTCTCAATAAAGATGGCGACCGGCAAAACGCTAGCGTTCATACACCGGCACTAGTTGCGTATTTCAAAGTAAAATTCTTAAACACTATTCCAGCTAAAGGTCTACAAAATAAATTGATTAAGATGTTTATTATTGCTGAAATTGTATTTATTTAACGTGTTTTGTGCGTCTAAACAAATACGAAAATAAAGTACGTTTTTCATATCCTCGTTTGATCTCCCTAGAATATCTGGTGGGTACGTGAGACGATGCACCGATAGGAATCTCCTAGGGACATACTGGGGATGTCATATCCCGAGCAGTAGGTTGGGAGCTTGTAGGGATATCCTGGGGATATTGTGTGTTGTCTGGGGAGCAGGCGAATTCGATTGCTGGTTTTGCCATTGCTTTTTTTTTTTTTAGACATTGTCTTAGTAGTTCTTGTAAATTTGGAGATTTTCCTAAAAAGCAAGCCGGGAAGAATATTTAGTTTAGTTAGGAAGCTGAAAATAATGATTTAGTACCCCTTTGTCACTAAAATAGATACTGTGTGCCGCTGTTAGTGTCAAGCCGAGATCCACGCTTTTTTGGCATTTTGCTCAGAGTGGTACCCATTCTTATTCGTTAGCCTCTTGGTGTGCCAACTAAACTCTTTGTATACAGACACCTGCCCTCTGCTGGTACACTCTACCCTCATGTTCAGCGAGTGTATGAACCGGAGTTGTATCCACAGTCGACACTCGCTGAGCACGAGGGTAGGAAAATCTTTCCATTGCAGCAGAGCCATATATGGGGAGAGTCTGGCAGTCTATGATTTCGCTGCCGTAACGTCTCCCTTCCGAGTGAGCTGATGAGCCCGCGGCACAGAGCAAGAGGCGTGAGCGCATGCGCGTGAACTCTAGGCTGCTCCCAGCTGAGCGGGGAGGGCCGCCATTTTCATTCATTCGCCCGGCATGGGATCGATATTCAAATTTCGGTTCTTTCCTTTTATTTGGCAGGCTCTGGCAATAAAATGATATAGTGTTATTCCTCGGTGGCTTAAAAACCTAAAGAAAGAAGTTCCTCCATGTTTGAACGCACTTTTATTAAGGCAAAAAAAATAAATAAGCCCGTAGCAGACGACACGTAGCCTCAACAGTGCTCCGTGCAGACAGCTTTGCGTCAAAATGGTGGTCGTCTCCTCTTTGTTTCTCTGCTGCCTTCTCTCTCCCTCCTTCGGCGTTCTCCTCCCTTTCCTCCTCTCCGGCGCCTTCGTTGCCACACCCGCTGGCTAAACTCTCCCACTATACGGCTTTGCATTGCAGTAGTAGTTTTATTTGTAGTCTTTACAGTTGAATGTGAATATTTGACAGAAGTCTCAGGTTGGGGCGAAAGGGGGTTAAATGAATGCATTTGATCATTCACCTAAATTCGGTACCCATCATTTTAACGCCTACGTAGCTTTGTCCTGGGGGGTGACTATGACTAAAATAAGAGGATCTATGTGCTGATCACGAAAGAATATGCTAGCCATTCTAATGTAGCTCTGCCAAGTACTTGATTGTGATTTGTTTTTATTTTCAGCTACTTGGGTGCCTCAAGATCTGGAGATCCTAGTGGCCACAAGCTTGGACTCAATCTTTTTCTGTGGTCGGGGCAGGACCATGGGGGAGGTAATCCCAGCAACAAGAGCATTGCAGTATCTCCCTGGCTGTGACTTTCGGTCTGCGTCACGACAGGGGAGTCCTCGTGCCACCAGGTGTTAGGTATGCCACTTGAAATAAGCATTTTTCTTACCTATTAATAGAACAGCAAAAGCACTACTAAGCCTAAAATGAAAAAAAACATATTCAAATCTTGGGTTGGATGAAATTCCAATTACAAAAAGGAGTCTGCAGACATGATTGACATGTGAACTTAAAGCCCGCGGATGTAGGTTCGACGGTGTCACAGAAATAACTTCCCGCAGATCGCCTTGCTCGTGCTATACCCAAACAAATTCTTAAAATAATCATTGTGTTTCGTTGGTGTCATCAATCTTATGTCCCTACCACACTCACCAGTCGGGACATGTGAAATATAAAAAAACAGGAACTTGCACATTGTCAGCTCTGCAAAGATTTATATAGTAAACAGAGCATAGCACGTTCAGCTTAAGAAAAAAATTCAGTGCAGGCCTATATTCATGGTTCACATATGTGTAATTGCTCTTTATAATGAAGTGAAAACTGCTTAAGTTCTGGCCCACTACAGGCTTTCTATTAGTGTTAAAAAGTGCGGTAGAAAATATGATTGCGCTTGGAAGACGGGGACATAGGAAGGACAGACACAACAGAGCGCTAACTTTCAACTGATTTAATTCAAGAACCTCAGCGTAGAAACGGACTGTGTCACCGCACCACATCTCAACCAATCCGTGGCCCTGCCACGGATTGGTTGAGATGTGGTGCGGTGCCTAGCAAGAACAGTCTACTGTTCTTGCTAGGCACAAAGATATGACTGTTAGAGAGATTATGGAGGCTGATGCTATAAATAGTTCCGGCACGTGTTGTGTCAGTGTGGCGTCAATTGACTTGGCGGATAAGGAGTTGGCGTACTTGCGGTCCGTGGCAGGGCCACGGACTGGTTGAGATGTGGTGCGGTGACGCAGTGTGTTTCTACGCCGAGGTTCTTGAATTAAATCAGTTGAAAGTTAGCACTCTGTGGTGTCTGTCCTTCCTATGTCCCCGTCTTCAAAGCACAATCATGTTTTCTAACGTACCGTACCAACTTGCCCAACAATCAGCACTTGCTAAAAAGTGCTATTGTGTTTTAAGCAGCTCGCACCAAATATTTTCTTGAAATACATAGGTTCATGGAAATTATTATGTAGATGTTGGCAGACAGTCATGGTGAGGCCAATCTTTAATGCCAAGTGGTCCACTTATTCAGAGTTAATTGAGTTTGTAAATATTGTAGGTCGCAAATTAAATTTTTATGGCACGCAATGGGCACAATCATCCGTAATGACTAGCTCTACCTAGGGGAACTTCATACGTTTACTACGGCAAGATGGTTTCGAAAAACAAAGTATTTAGTTTATTCAACTCCTGCACTAACCTTGTCTTTAGAAACTTTTTATATTCTTTGCGATGCTGAGATAAGATTCTGGAAATAGTTTTTCTAGAACTACTCTAGATATTTCCAGTTCATCATTTTTCTCGCAAAGCATTCGAGAGAGCCAAACCCTGTAATGTACGGAGGGAACTCGCAGAATGATGCGACTGACAGTTTGGAACATTCGGCACTGTAACAGTAATAATGACATGTCACTTATGTAATGTTCATTATCGCAGATCAAACTGCTTTTTCCGTCTACACTCATTTTCAGTAGACTCATTCAGCGAACTCCCACCTAGGACTGCAGTGCTGGGTTCTGCAAAGTAATTTGAATGAATATAGATGCAACAGGTTTCTTTGAGCGTGCGTCTAACACATATTCTTCATATTGAATCTGCTAACTGTATTCATGTCCATGTCCATAATTCCACATTCCAGCTTATTTTTATTTTGACATTTGAGTTTTCTTCAGTACTTTTCTCAACATCTGTGCTTGCTGAGCCGTACTCAAGTCCATACATCTTGTCTTTCGCTATTACATTAATATATAAAACTGTTGATGCCGAGTGAGAATTCAAGGTACCGAATTTGTCGTGCGAGCTAAATAAGAACCAATAAAAAGCTCTACAAAGGAAATTTTGTTAAAGGATGCTGTATGGGCATTAGAATAGCACATGCCATGCTAAAAAAAAAATACAAATTCTTGTTAGGTATGCGAGGATGACAGTGCTCTGCTGTTTCTGATGTGTCACAAAAAAAAAAATCAGTGCCATACAGTGTTCCTTATGGAAGTACAAACTGTTGAATTCGAAGCCCAGAAGTTTTATTCAAGAATGTTCCTCAATACAAATGTATTTAGAGATCTGAGCCACTGACTCATACATGACTATGTGGCAAACATTAATTTTCATGTGGATTATAGTTTACAAGGTCTAGTCTGCATTGATTTATTGCATTCATGCTGAAACTGGGAGGGGTTCTCTGGGTATGAATAAAGAGATAAACATTTCTTGAAATTAAAACATTTGAGAACGGACAAAAGGAAGGATCTGAGAACGGTATCTTAGATTCTCTTCTTTTTCTTACAGTATCTCTAATGTTCACTTTATTTCACCTGATGCATTTAGTTTTTAGCGCAGCTCTTAGCACCCGTTTCCGCGTTTCGCGGCGTCGCTGTCGGCGTAACCACCCAACTAAACTTGGCAGGAAATTGAATTAATGTTGTGGTCATGTGACGTTAATATTTCCGCTAAGTCTAGCTGAGAAACTGAATTTTTTTATGGCTGACGTGACACGGTCATGCGACGTCATTTTCCCTGCTACTTTTAGCGGAAAAACTGCATTTGTGTTGAGGTCATGTGACATCAATTTCTGCGCTAAATTTAGTGGGAAACTTAACCAGCTAAATTTAGTGGGGAAATTTTCCCGCTAAATTCAGGGAAGTTTCCTGCTAAATGGGAGGGAGCAGAAGAGGAGGAGGGGAGGAGGGGCATACCTTCCCATCCTCCTCTTCAAGATCTGTGCTCTAATTTCACGTTACAGAGAATTGTAAACGTCTCATATTTCATCTCATGTTTATTCAACTTTTATATTGCAGGTGCGCTCGCAGCACAAATCTGGGTTGTGCTGATCCTCTACGCACAAGTTAGGAACTCCTGAGTGGCAAGAGTGGGAGTTTGGTCTGACAGCTCAAGGGACACCATTGTTCAGTATTGAATTTTTAATAATCTTCTTTTAAGCAAAGTTAAGCTTTGCTGCATGCAGTTCTTGTAAAAATAAATACCTGCAACCAAATTTACCAGGTCACGACATTTCGCCTCTGCTCTTAGTGGTCCTGGTGAGCCTCGGATAAGAGCTTACTGGTGTGCAAACACCATGCTTGTTTGAAACCACTCACTGATGTAGAGACTCGCTGACATCCAGCATTCCAATGAAACGCTGGATGTCCACAAGTCTTTCTTGAACAATGCAAGCGGGGAAGGAA